CAAAAGAAATTCAAATTCATCCTTTTGGACTAATTCAATAATTAGCTTTTTTTTTTTTAATTTTTAATTTTTATTTTTATGACATTAACTCGTAAATCTTAAAATTAAAACTTATGTAACAACTAGTCTCACAATTATTTTAATGAATACACAATTTCTTATTTATGTAAATTGACACATTTATTATTGTTTTTATGTTATGATCAATTTGAAGATTTTCTTCTTATTTTTAGTTATTTCTGTAACATTTCAAAAAAGAACACTAAAGGATTTTTGTAGTCACACTGTTAGTTTGGACAAATCACATTCTACATTCCACATTCAATTAACCCTTAGGCTACATTTCAAAAACCACATTAAAAAATTAAAAAAAGAATAGAAGATTCCCTCCTTATTTTTAGTTGTTTTTGTCGCATTTCAAAAAAGTACACTAATAACTATCATGCTAACATATATATATATATATATATTATTTTATAGTTTAATTATGCGAATTTATAAGAATCTGTCAGTTAAAATGAGGAAATAGGGGCGTCACATTTGGCTTAAAGGTTCTGTTTTGTTACAATTTATCGAGCTATTTATAATTTTTTTTATTTTAAAAATTTAATATTTAGTTTTATGGTATAAAAAATAATTTAAAAAAAAAAATTTAGTTGAGGATCTCACTTCAGAAATCTATATACGCCTTTTTTTTTTTCTTTTTTTTTTTTAAATTTTAGATTGGTAGGTCAGGTTCATTTGGAAATATTTTTATGAAATCATTTTTAATATATTATTGTGTCATGTTAAGACGTTTTTGCTCTTATTGAGTGTTGGGTTCATTTTTTTTTTCTTGGAATGCGGTTTATGAAATGTGGCATAAGGATTGATTGAATGTGAAATGTGAAATTTGATTTGATTTCCATAATGGGCATGCTACATTTTGAATGGATTGAATGTAATATGTGATTTGTCAAAACCAGCAATATTACTACACAAATCCTTTAGTGTACTTTTTTGAAATGTGACATAAGCAATTAAAAATAAGGAGGGAATTTTCTCATTCTTTTTAATGTGAATTTTGAAATGTGGTATAAGGGTTGATTGAATGTGCAATGTGGCATGCTATATTTTGGGTGGATTGAATGTGAAATGCGGTTTGATTTCCATAATATGGCATGCTACATTTGGATGGATTGAATGTGGAATATGATTTGTCCAAACTAGTAATGTGACTACAAAATCCTTTAGGTGTGCACCTTTTTTTGGGTTCATACCATATGCACCCCAACCATAAAATGAGTAACTTGATCTCAAAATTTTGTAATATTAATCACGAAATGCGTACCATTGCCATAAATTGACGTAACAAAAAATATCATAACCAAGTTACAAACTTTTGTGACAATCAATCACAAAATTGCGGACATTTTGTTACGCTAATTTGTGGTGATATTACACATGTTGTGGTTGATATTATGAAATTTTGTAGTAAAGTTGCACATTTTGTAGTGGGGTGCATATAGTATGCACTCCTAAAAGGATGCACACCATAGCATTTTCCTAGAATCCATTAGGGATATCTTCATGGAAAAATTATCATTTAGTGGTATTTTCAGAAAAATATTATAGAATCATGAAAAAGTTTAAAATTTGGATTATTAATATTAGGAACTAATTAGTTTAGGCCATTGATTGTTTCATTAGCTTAATTGCCAAAGTTTAACTCAAACTAATCTTGCTTAGGTCCTAAGAAATAGAATTTTCTAAATAATTGTTGTTTAACGATATTAGGCCAATTCTTAAATCCAAAAGGTTGAATTAGAATTCCCTATGATCTTCTACCTATTTCTTATTCTTTTCTCTAACTTTCTATTCTAGCTCTCGAGACGAAAGTTTCCCTCTAAACATCTCCGTCCCTCCCCATCCATCTCTCTTTTGTTCTAGGAACTTTAGCTTAGGCCACTAATTGTTTCATTAGCATAATTGCCTAAGTTTAACTATAACCAATATTGCTTAGCCTCTAAGAAACAAAATTTACTGAGTAATCATAGCGTAAGGATATTAGCTTAGGCACCTCATTTTAGGTTTTCTAAATCAGCTTAGTGTTCAATTCTCAACTCCAAAAGGATGAATTCGAATTCCACTTGATTTTCTACCTATTTCTTATTCCTTTTTCTCTTCTAGCTCACAAGAAGAAAGTTTCTCTCTAACCTTCTCCGTCCTTCTCCGTCGTTCTCTCTTTTGTTGTTGGAACGAATTAGCTGTGGCCATCGATTGTTTCGTTAGCTTAATTGGCCTCAAACTGATTTTGCTTGGCCTCTAAGAAAGAGGATTTACCGTGTAATTGTAGCTTAATGGTATTAGTTTAACTTAATGACCCCATTTTAGGTTTTCTAAATCAACTAATTTTTAAATTCTCAAATCCAAAATGATGAAATTGAATTCCATTTGATTTTCACCCCATTCGTAATTCATCTCTTTTTTAGCTCTCAAGATGAAAGTTTCTCTCTAACGTTATCCGTCTGTCGCCGTGGTTGTCTCTTTTGTTCTGCGAACTAATTAGATTATGTCACTAATTGTTTCATTAGCTTAATTGGCCAAGTTTGAATTAAACTAATATTATTTAGCACCTAAGAAACATAATTTCATCTTGACTAGCCTCTCGGAAAGGAAACCATGGGTTAGAGAGAGAAGCTCTGACATCTCTGTAGAAAACCCTTGTTTTCTAGGGTTCAATACCTCATTGATTTACGATGTCCGGAGTTAATGCTATCCCTGGTGAGATAAATGCGAAAGTTAATGTTCCCATTTGTTCCGTAAGATCTGCCCTCATGAACGAGAGTATTCGTTTGGGAGATCTTGAGTTAGAAAAACGAAGAATCCCATCTGTGTTCAAAACTATGGATGCTTCTGCAGCAAAAATGGTCAGTTCACCCACTCTAAGTGGGAATATTGTGTCCAGCGTAGAGCACGGAGGTGCAGTGGAGTGTGTTTCGAGAATGATGATCCCAGATCCTTTGGGTATAACTGCGATAGGGCAAATCGATTTGGTTGCGAGATCTTGAGAGCGATCTGAATGGGTTGTAGGGGTAGATTGAACTGAGGATGCTCAGATCGGTGCTGATGAGGTTACTCAGGGTAATACAGATCGTTTGGAAAAGCTTAAAGCCCCAATGATCTTAGCTTCAGAGAAGGTAGGTGGAGAGGTCGTCCCTTCGACTCCGATAGGTCAGATCTCTAACCCTAGGTGGTCAGAAAGTGTTGACAACGAAGACTACAGATTCCAAAATCTTCCAGATAGCCTTGATGTTACAAGAATCAGAGGAGAAGGGAGGAGTCGACCAGCTCTCGATGTCCTACCAGTGGGTAATGATCCAAAAATTCTTGATGTGAATGTTCCTAACCAGTCTGATGGTCGAGGAAGGGGCGGTCGGTAATCAGCCTCAGCAGAGGTCGTGGGCCAACGTGGCTTCGGCACTAACTCGATCCAACATCAAACTAAGGTATATTCCCCCTACTCAAATTGATGATGCTATTGTGGTTAATATGCCTTAGAGATCTGACCCTTTGGAGAAATGGGACTCATGTTTGGTAGGCTATTTCATAGATAAGGGTGTTGGTTACAATTACCTTCGTAATAGTGCCTTTGGGTTGTGGAAAAACAAAGGTCTCAAGGAAGTATTAACCAACGGGGATGGTTTTATGTTCTTTATTTTTGATTCCCCGGAATGCTATAGGGAGGTGCTTGAAGAGGGGCCGTGGTATATTGGTGGTTACTTACTTATCATAAAACAATGGAAAAGGATGATGAAGCTAGCCAAGGAAAAATCCACCAAGATTCCGGTTTGGGTCAAGTTTTTCAACATTCCATTGGAGTATTGGGATCCAGATGGGCTTAGTAGGATTGCTAGTGCTATTGGTAGTCCCCTTTCCATGGATCAACTCACAGCTAGAGGGTCCAGGGTGGCTTTTGCAAGGGTTTGCATTGAGATAGAGGCTACCTCCAAACTACCTACCTATTTTCAGGTTCGCTGTGATGAGGAAGCAGTTCTGATCCGTGTTGAATACCAAGGCTTGCCTTCCATTTGCCAACACTGCCAAATTTTTGGTCACGAAACTCAGAAGTGTGTATCTAAACAGGTGGCGCACCTAATTGCTCTCCAAAAGAACTCTGAGGAAGCAGTTGAGGTGCCAAAAGAGGAATGGACTACTGTCCAAGCCAAAGGGAAGAGGAAAGTGGGGGATCCGGATCTAGTAATCTCTGAAAATGTGGATGTTCCTCCTCCGGTGCCTGATGCTCCTACAACAGCCATTCCCGTAGTGGAAAGTCCTATCCCAGCTGTGGCAGTGTGCTCATCAGAGGAGGAGTTAGAGACACCAGGGAAGGAAGTTACATTGTTTCATGATAGTGTTATGGAATTGACTAAAGTGGTGCTCCCGCAGGCTGCAGAACTCTTGGAGGTAGTGATTGCTGATACCATGCCAGCTACGGTGAGTTCATCAGGGGCTGCTCAAGTCCTAAAGGCTAAGCATGTTCAAGGTAGCCAATCCTCTGGCAAAGGTAATAGCAGTCAGAGGAAGAAGAAGAAGTAACTGCTGTTTCAGTTGGTTGTGGGATGTTCTTTTTGTTTTTGTTTCCAATGACTTTTAAAATTGCTTCTTGGAATGTTAGAGGGTTGAATGATCCCTCTAAACATAAAGATCTTAAAAAACTTGTGCTTAATGAAGATATCCATGTCATTAGTGTTTTGGAGACCAAAATTAGCCAAAGTAATGAAAATAAAATTTTTAATAACTGTTTTGGTAATTGGTCTTTTTTGTCTAACTCCCAACCAACTAAAACTGGTAGGGTGTGGGTGTGTTGGAACAGTGAAATTTGTGATGTTAAAATGTGTTCGATGTCTAACCAACACATCTTTTGTGAAATCTTGTTTCTTGCCACTAAAGCCAGTATTTTTGCAACATTTGTTTATGCTGATAATAAACATACTGTGAGGAAAACATTTTTTGAAAAAATGGTTCGCATCTCCCATGTTAAGTCCAATTCCCCTTGCATTTTCCTGGGTGATTTCAATGCCATAAGATATCGTCAGGAAAAAGTAGGGGGCTCTTCGGTTTGGTCTAATGAGAATGAAGAATTTAACACATATATTAACTCATCTGATTTGACTGATCTCTCGTATGGTGGTTGTCAATTTACTTGGGCTAATAAAAGAGCTGATGGTGACTATATTGCTACTAAAATTGATAGGGTGTTAGTTAATGAGGACTGGCTGGTCAAATACCCTGAATCTAGTGCTTCTTTTCTACCATCTGGTATTTCTGACCACTCACCTGCTGTTGTTAATATAAGTGAGACCAAAACATCTTTTAAAAAACCTTTCAAATACTTTGATTTTTGGTCTAAGCATCCTGATTTTCTGAATTGTGTGTCTGCTACCTGGGATCAATTTATTAGAGGTGTTCCTATGTTTAGGGTTTGTCAAAAGCTGAAACAGCTCAAAACTGCCCTCAAGCTGTTGAATAAAAAAGATTACAATATGGTGAGCCAACGCCCAGTAGAGATATGCTAAACACAGTATGAGCAATGACTAAGACATTAGCAATTGATAAATGTTCAATTTCCATAAACCGATTCATAACCCAGTCATCTCTGTCAAGAGTGATTAGGGAGTCACTGCTTTAGGGAATAGTGACATTCACAATGCTTTCGTTCAGTTCTATACCAACCTTTTTGGCTCACCCTTTGCGAACCAGTATAATGGCCTTGATAGGATTAAATCTTTGGTGAAAACTAAAGTTTCTGTGTCTCAGTATGCTATGCTTGCTATGCCTATTTCTGATGCTGAGATTAAGGATGTTTTTTGGTCCCTCAAGCCTAATAAGGCCCCGGGTCCTGATGGTTAATCGGCGGGTTTTTTCAAGAGCTCTTGGGATATAGTGGGTAAGGAGGTCACCCTTGCTATAAGATCCTTTTTTGAAACTGGTAAACTTCTCTCTGAGGTTAACAGTACGATTATAGCTCTTATTCCTAAAATCCCTAACCCCATGAAGGTTGGGGACTATAGGCCTATCTCCCGTTGTAACACGATCTATAAGTGCATAGCCAAGATCATTGCCAATAGAGTTAAGATTGTTCTTCTGGATCTTGTTGATCCTGTGCAATCAGCTTTTGTCCAGGGTAGACGGATCTCGGATAACATCTTTTTGTCTCAGGAGATAATGAGGGGTTATCATAGAAATTCAAAAATTCCCAAGTGTGCTATGAAAGTGGACATTATGAAAGCCTATGATAATGTTAGATGGGAGTTTATTCTTGACATCTTGTCAACTATGAACTTTCCCCCTTGTATGATTATGTGGATCAAGGCTTGTATGACGAGTCCTTCTTTCTCGATCTGCATCAATGGTAGTCTTCATGGGTATTTCAAAGGGGCTAGAGGGCTTAGACAAGGGGATCCGATGTCCCCTTATTTGTTTGTTTTGGCTGAAAAAGCTTGTGATCCCCTATTCAAGTTTCATTGGAGGTGTGATAAAACCAAGATTGTCAATCTCTGCTTTGCAGATGATCTTATTATTTTCAGTAAAGGTGATACTGGCACTGTCAACCTTATCATGCAAGGCTTAGAGGAGTTTAGGTTGTTGTCTGGTCTCACCCCTGGGTAAGAGTAATATATTCTTCTCGGGGTGTAATAGTGAGCTTAAAAATGACATTCTTAGAATTTCCAAGTTTACTGAGGGCACTCTTCCGGTGAAATACTTGGGTGTGCCCTTGATCACTACGAAGCTTAAGGCTACTGATTGTCAAATTCTAATTGAGAGGATCACCAAGAGGATTAAGAGCTAGACCAATAGACTTCTTTCTTATGCGGGTAGAGCTCAACTTATCTAGACTATCCTTTTTTCTATGCAAGTCTATTGGTCCTCACTTTTTATCCTCCCAAAAAAGGTGATTAAAGAGATTGATAGCATTTTGAGATCGTTTCTTTGGTCGGGTGTTGAGTTGAAGATGCATAGTGCTAAAATCGCTTGGAATAATGTTTGTATGCCTAAAGGTGAAGGGGGCTTAGGGTTTAAGGAGATGGGGGTCTGGAATAGGGCGGCTATCACCAAGCACGTTTGGTTCTTGTTCTCTGGAGGGGAAGGGTCTATGTGGTGCCAATGGGTTAAGTCCTACTTACTTAAGGGTAAGAGCTTTTGGCATATTAAGATGCCTAGTGACCCCTCATGGGTTTGGAGGAAAATTCTGTCTCTTAGAAAAAATATCTTCCCTCTTATCAAGTTTAAGATTGGTAATAGGGAGAAGGTGTTTCTGTGGTTTGATAATTGGCATCCTTTGGGTTCTTTATGGGATAGGTTTGGGCATAGGATTATGTATGACACGGGTCTTCCTTTCAATTCCAAAGTTAGTGCTGCCATATCTAATAATGATTGGAAGTGGCCTATTGATAACTCTTGGGAGATCAAGGAGTGGATTTCTTCTACTCCTCTTAAGCTTAAACCTAGTAGGGATATCCAGGATTGTCCTGTCTGGAACCTGACTGTGGATGGGAATTTTACCATACAATTTGCTTGGGATTGTTGGAGGGATAAGGGTACTAAAGTGCCTTGGGCTAATCTTGTTTGGCCCTTCCATTCCTAGGGTCAGTTTTTTTGGTCTGGATGGCTATTCATGAGAGATTAAACACGGGGGATAGGCTGCATCTATTCAGCCTTGTTCCTAATCCTACTTGCCCCCTTTGCCATGGTCCTGAGGAGAATCACTCTCATTTGTTTTTCAGGTGTGTGTATTCCTCTAGGATCTGGGGAGCCATTCAGGTCAAGTGTAACATTAGCTGGCCCCAATTATCCTGGCTGGAGTATGTGGTCTATGCTACTAAGTCCACCAAAGGCAAAGCTTTGAAGTCTGCTCTTATGAAACTCTCCTCTCTTTGCACTGTCTACCAGATTTGGATAGAAAGGAATAGGAGGATTTTTAGCAAGGAGTTTAAACCTGAGAAAATTGTGACTAATCTTATTGTCCAAATGATTAGAGGTAGGATGCTTTCTATGTATAATCTGGCTAACTCTGCAGGTGATGCATGGTATTGTTACTGGCAGTCTCTTTTGGATTGTTATTGGGATTGTTATTGGACTATGGCTGCAAGTTGCATGCTGTTGGGGAAGGCTCTTGGGCGATGGCAACAATCTGTGTCTGGTTACGAATTTAATGTTGACTGGTGGTGTGGAGGTGGCTGCAACCAGCGCCCCTCTTTGAAGCTGTATGCTGTGTGGAGATGCTTTTCGGCAATGGCAGCAAGTTGCGCCTTGCCTAGGCATTTCAGTGGGTTCATAAGCTGTTTTCAATTCGGGTTGTATACATACCCGTATGGTGTGACTGTAATTATTGTATATCGTAACTCTGTCCTCTCTTTGGGTTGTTTTGTTTATTAGTTCTGGACGTGTTTGAGACTAAGAACTGGGCTGGTGTTTTTTGGTATTTCACGGTGGACTTTGTATTATTCCAGTTCGGTGCTACCTTTGGGATGGGGTATGCCCCTTGTAATCGTGTAAATTTTCTTGTTTTATTTATTTCTTACTCACCCAAAAAAAAAAGAAACATAATTTAGTGAATAATTGTAGCTTAACGATATTAACTTAAGCACCTCATTTTAGGTTTTCTAAATCAACTAAGTGTTCAATTCTCAAATCGAAAGGATGAATTTGAATTCCCATTGATGTTCTTCCTATTTCTCATTCTTTTTTCTCTTCTAGCTCTCAGAAAGAAAGTTTCTCTCTAACCTTATTCGTCCTTCTCCAACCTTCTCTCTCTGGTTCTAGGAACTAATTAGTTTAGGGCCATTGATTGTTTCATTAGCTTAATTGCCAAAGTTTAACTCAAACTAATCTTGCTTAGGTCCTAAGAAATAGAATTTTCTAAGTAATTGTTGTTTAACGATATTAGGCCAATTCTTAAATCCAAAAGGATGAATTAGAATTCCCTATGATCTGCTTCCTATTTCTTATTCTTTTCTCTAACTTTCTATTCTAGCTATCGAGACGAAAGTTTCTCTCTAAACGTCTCCATCCCTACGCATCCAACTCTCTTTTGTTCCAGGAACTTTAGCTTAGGGCACTATTTGTTTCATTAGCATAATTGCCCAAGTTTAACTATAACCAATACTGCTTAGCCTCTAAGAAACAAAATTTACTGAGTAATCGTAGCGTAAGGATATAAGCTTAGGCACCTCATTTTAGGTTTTCTAAATCAGCTTAGTGTTCAATTCTCAACTCCAAAAGGATGAATTCGAATTCCACTTGATTTTCTACCTATTTCTTATTCCTTTTTCTCTTCTTGCTCACAAGAAGAAAGTTTCCCTCTAACTTTCTCCGTCCTTCTCCATCGTTCTCTCTTTTGTTGTTGGAACGAATTAGCTGTGGCCATCAATTGTTTCGTTAGCTTAATTGGCCTCAAACTGATTTGGCTTGGCCTCTAAGAAAGAGGATTTACCGTGTAATTGTAGCTTAATGGTATTAGTTTAACTTAATGACCCCATTTTAGGTTTTCTAAATGACCTAAGTTTTAAATTCTCAAATCCAAAAGGATGAAATTGAATTCCAGTTGATTTTCACCCCATTCATAATTCTTCTCTTTTTTAACTCTCAAGATGAAAGTTTCCCTCTAACGTTGTCCGTCCGTCGTCGTGGTTGTCTCTTTTGTTCTGCGAACTAATTAGATTATGTCACTAATTGTTTCATTAACTTAATTGGCCAAGTTTGAATTAAGCTAATATTATTTAGCGCCTACGAAACAGAATTTAGTGAGCAATTGTAGCTTAACGATCTTAACTTAAGCACCTCATTTTAGGCTTTCTAAATCAACTAAGTGTTCAATTCTCAAATCGAAAGGATGAATTTGAATTACCATTGATGTTCTTCCTATTTCTCATTCTTTTTTCTCTTCTAGCTCTCAAAAAAAAGTTTCTCTCTAATTTTTCCGTCCTTCTCCTTCTCTCTCTAGTTCTAGGAACTAATGAGCTTAGGCCATTGATTGTTTCATTTTCCTAATTGGACAAGTATAACTCAAACTAATCTTTCTTAGGTTCTAAGAAATAGAATTTTCTGAGTAATTGTTGTTGTTTAACGATATTAGGCCTTTTTTTTTTTTGGGTGAATAAGAAATAATATAAAACAGAAAGATTTACAAAAATACAAGGGGCATACCCCAGGCCCTAACAACAGAAGACAACACAAGCCTCAGCCCACAGGCACCGAAGCCCAAAGAAACACTAACAAAAAACCTAAACCAAACCTAAGAGCTACATCCGAAAATTAGGAGAGCCAAAAGAAAAACGTTGCCAAGCAGATTGTACAAAGGCCATATCCTATGATGAATAGGGACCTTGTACAAAGGACAAACCAGCAACCAACAAGCACCATTACAACAGTCCAAAAACTCCCTACACAACCTATAGGGATGGGCACCAACACACCCACACGCCTCCCTACACAACCCGTAGGGATAGGCACCTGTAACAAAATAAATGTAATACAAAAATTGTAACTCAAGCAAGCCGAAGTGATGTACCAAGAGGGGCCCATCCTACCAATTCTTAAATCCAAAAGGATGAATTAGAATTCCCTTCAATTTTCTTCCTATTTCTTATTCTTTTCTCTAACTTTCTATTCTAGCTCTCGAGACGAAAGTTTCTCTCTAAACGTCTCCGTCCCTCCCCATCCATCTCTCTTTTGTTCTAGGGACTTTCGCTTAGGCCACTAATTGTTTAATTAGCATAATTGCCCAAGTTTAACTATAATCAATACTGCTTAGCCTCTAAGAAAAAAAATTTACTGAGTAAGCAGAGCGTAAAGATATTAGCAGTGTGTAATCTCTGTTTTTTTATTTATGTCTTATTCACCCAAAAAAAAGATATTAGCTTAGGCACCTCATTTTAGGTTTTCTCAATCAACTTAGTGTTCGATTCTCAACTCGAAAAGGATGAATTCGAATTCCACTTGATTATCTACCTATTTCTTATTCCTTTTTCTATTCTAGCTCACAAGAAGAAAGTTTCTCTCTAACCTTTTCCGTCCTTCTCCATCGTTCTCTCTTTTGTTGTTGGAACGAATTAGCTGTGGCCATCGATTGTTTCGTTAGCTTAATTGGCCTCAAACTGATTTTGCTTGGCCTCTAAGAAAGAGGATTTACCAGGTAATTGTAGCTTAATGGTATTAGTTTAACTTAATCACCCCATTTTAGGTTTTCTAAATCAACTAAGTGTTCAATTCTCAAATCAAAAGGATGAATTTGAATTCCCATTGATGTTCTTCCTATTTCTCATTCTTTTTTCTCTTCTAGCTCTCAAAAACAAGTTTCTCTCTAATTTTTCCGTCCTTCTCCTTCTCTCTCTGGGTTCTAGGAACTAATGAGCTTAGGCCATTGATTGTTTCATTTGCCTAATTGGACAAGTTTAACTCAAACTAATCTTTCTTAGGTTCTAAGAAATAGAATTTTCTGAGTAATTGTTGTTTAACGATATTAGGCCAATTCTAACCTTGCTTAGCCTCTTAGAAAGTGAATTTTCTTAGTAATTGTAGCTTAACGTAACGATATTAACTTAAGCACCTCATTTTAGGTTTTCTAAATCAACTAAGTGTTCAATTCTCAAATCGAAAGGATGAATTTGAATTCCTATTGACGTTCTTCCTATTTCTCATTCTTTTTTCTCTTCTAGCTCTCAAAAACAAAGTTTCTCACTAACTTTTCCGTCCTTCTCCTTGTCTCTCTGGTTCTAGGAACTAATGAGCTTAGGCCATTGATTGTTTCATTTGCTTAATTGGACAAGTTTAACTCAAACTAATCTTTCTTAGGTTCTAAGAAATAGAATTTTCTAAGTAATTATTGTTTAACGATATTAGGCCGATTCTTAAGTCAAAAAGGATGAATTAGAATTCCCTACAATTTTCTTCCTATTTCATATTTTTTTTTGGGTGAATAAGACATAAATAAAAAAACAGAGATTACACATCTACAAGGGGCATACCCCAGGACCTAACGAAAACTATACATACACAGCTACAAGGGGCATACCCCAGGACCTAACAGACAACTATACAAACGAAAGGAGAACAAGAAAAAACCGCCACCTAAAAGGAATCAAAGCGGGCTGCCAAAATTAAAATAAAGAAAATCAATACATAGAAGGAAACCCCTAAAGATATGTGCATAAGCCGCATACATACGAATGAGGCCCATGAACACATCCAACCGAGAGCCCAAAACTGAAGCGAAAAATAGTCCATACAGACGACACAACCAAAAGCAACACTGTACTGATAACCTGGCACATCCCGCACGGGTAGGCAAAAAGAACAACCATCGCATCTATACTGCCTAACATCCAAACACAGAAATTCGAAACAGAAAAATAACTTACTGAAAGACAAGTGTCCACAAAGGCGCTACAAGCAGCCATCAACACAGAACAGTACCATCTGCCACGCAATCTGCCACACGTCTGATTGTTAACAAACCAGCAACTCCAACAGAACTTCATCATTGTAGCGAACCCAAAATCTGAAAAGCCAAGATCTTTTGAAACAACAGGTCTACAGTCCCCAAAATCTGGACACCGCTGCCAACCCATACAATCCAGGACCTGC